TAGACTAAAACGCCAGCTTATTTTTGCCGTTTTCTTGTTGAGTTGCCACGGGCTTCTGTGTTCACAGATGGTCACTGTTCAGTATATCAATATTTCAGTATTTTTACACGTAGAATTGAATTTTTTTATGTCAGGAAGTCGACATTTGCGGATTTGTTAGGTCGATTTCATACGGGAATTGATAGTTTCTTGGGATTGCAATTATATACATTATTGTTATTGTTTCACGAAAATATAAATGCACCTAAAATTACTGAACCATGTTGATTCTCACATCTTTGCACTCTTAGAATTGGTTTGTAAAGTCAATCAGTGGATACACCGACCTGATATATCGAGTTTCTGAAATTTTTTACAGCAAATCGGTGGATTTTCGCGATTTGTTTGCTTATACTTTCAATTCACAAATGAATAAAGTATCGAACCCGGATCAACTTCTTTGTATGGCAAGATGCTGAATATAATATAATAATCACATATTTAATGCAATTGCACTTATGTCTAGTCAATTTCTTTTCAATAAAATAATCGAATTTACCACCGGAATAGCTATTACAGTCCCAAAATACCTTCAAATCGACTCTATTTTCCAGGAACTCGACAGATTTTGTTTTCCTTTTTTGGTTTAAATAACTCCGTAGATACTGTTTTTTAAGTAGCTGATACGTTTTTGCTTGGGACAGATCAAAAAAATCAAGCTCGTTCGAATGTCTTTCTACATTTACAATACAGCATCGTCAAGGTGCATCCCTAACCTCGCAGTGTTGGATCGTGAATTCCCTTCATGTGCTGCTTACCTATGTTAAAATCTCTGCAAATAAAAACTAATGAGGTTGATATATACGAGTCAATGATGCGCCTTATCAACATGTTGCGTGCGAGTTCACTGCTTATTTTTTCTTATGCAAAGAAGGCTGGAAAATTTAAGGAGCATCGCTGTGGTCTTCCGTTTGTTTTGCAAACTAGAATACATGTGAATTTGACTACTTATTCATTTTTCTAATCATTTACTCTGACCAGACTTTCAGGAAGCGGTTGGTTGGAAGGCGACAATTTATGATGATGTACAACATGGCAAGACTTTGCAAACTTTGTCGGGAGGCCCTTGCCAGGAGGTGAAAGACGCCAATAATGACAGAGCTTCCTCAATCAACACTTGGGGTGGGTGCGTGGTTATTTATAGTGATTTTCAGTGCAAAGGCACCAACAAAACGATGAGACCCGGGAGTCCTCATCATAAAGATTTCAAACTGCTACACTTCGATAATGTGGTATCTTCCATCGGTCCTTGCCCTTAGTAAATGATGTGACCGTGAAAATATTGAATCATATAGGACTCGTGGATATATCGCAGGCTATTGGTCAACTCACATTGTATCAAAAACCCAGGCAGATAGTCAAATTTTAACAGTTAACGGGATATTGTTTTATGACGACGAGCTCACGAGGTTTCAATTTTTTCGAATAAATCAATCTTTGAATCTACTACCTGTCCTTGTTCTTCTTCTTCAAATGCTGCACCTGTAAAACTGTTTAAGCATCACGAGACTCTAAAAGTGGACGTATCCGTAAAAATTGAAATGCATTCCCTTGCAGAGTAAATTAATGCTTCGAGGATTTTCACTCATACCCAGCAGCCATGAAATAACATTGAGGGTAAATGATAACACCATTATGTAACTTTAGTCGCCGATTTTAAAGCTTAGGTAACTTTCTCCGCAACTCACCAATACTTGGATGATTTCACAATAACAGGAATATATAAAATGTACGACAACTTAAGTGCAAAAATAAAAGTGCACCAATTTTCAACATATTTCATTACTTCGTTTCAAAGGTATTAATCTTCCTTTTTCCAGCTTTGGCACAAACTTTTTTGATTCAGTACAAAGTTAGAGTGATTGACAAACAAGCTATTGAATCACAGGTATCAGCTCTTCCCGCGGGACTGCTGGAGACCCACGCAATCATGGCTGCCCTGCCAAATTGTGTCGGTAACCGACACTAGAAAATGTGAAATAAAAGATGATTCAAAAGATGAAACTCGGCAATTCTTGCGATATGAGGTGGATTGAATGTTGCCTTTGAAGTTTTCTAAACTTTGGGGACATCCTGTTAGTTTAATAATGTTAAAGTGAGGATTTTGTGTAGTGAGGAATTAGTGTTGCGGACCTAAAAATTACTGGTTCTCACAAAAATTAAAGTTTTTAGCGTAGAAAAAGCCGACTTATTAGTAATGGTATGGTCGAAAAGACTTTCAGCGAACAACTTGATGACTGTTTTAAAACTCCTGGTTTCATCTGGCGAGATAAACACTGCACTTAATACAACTGCAAAAATACGTCGATCTGAACCACCCAGAGAGCACAAAAATATTTTTAATATATTGTTACTCTATTTTGACAATATTTTGAAAATGTTTTAAAAAAAATTTTAAAGTATTTTTAAAATATTTTAATGTATCCTCCATGTAAATATTTTAAAAATATTTTACCGAAATTATTTTAAAAATATTTCACCGGAATGTTTACCGAATAATACCATGCGCCCTCTCCCTCTATCAACGATTAACGGCACTATTTGCTTCTGTATACACGTCCGTATACTCAGCGCATTCTGTCAAGTAGACATGGAAGTACAGGCAATGATATTTTCATAGATAACTAATATTCTAAGAACTAATATTCTAGAAACTAATATTCTAGTATACTAAACTCGAGGTATAAAAAACTCAAACTTTCCTTGCTAATTTTCTTTTGTAAATTAAGTAAGGAAAGTTTCGAGTTTTTTTTAATTATAGTGATTTTATTCTTTAGTAACCTCTACTTTCGAATTTCAGTCGGGAAACTAATATTCTAAACTCGAGCTATACGCAAGTTGAGCTTTTTTCATAGCTGCTCGAGCAACCCTTAGTTCCATCGATTAGCGATGGAGTAAGAAAGTCAAAAGTTGAATATTTTTGTCGATTATTAATAAATTTGGCATTAATTCATGAATATATAAATCATAGTTATCGAACACCTCTTAATTGAATAATGATAATGAAGTATAAAAATGTTCAAAAAATGTATTTTCTTAAAATTACACATCCTAGCCTCATCCTTCGGTTTACTACAAACCTATCAGAACCTTTGAGGTATTTTTATGGTGAGGATCTGTTTCAGAACCACGGAACGTTCTAAGGAGCAAATCGGGAAAATCGAGTCATACAACTATTGGAGAGTCTCTTGAGGGTGCATCTCGATCGTTTTAATTCCACTTTAACCATCCTACGAGTATATTTTGAGTCTATCTGAGAGATATTTTTCTCCTCGGTGTTTACGAAACAACGCTCTCATAACTCAATCCTGTGTTTGTAAAATCCAGGTCTGCTTTGGGATCAAGCCGGCAATTTTTTGAGAATTTTAATACTTTCCTGTTCGAAATTGGTAGGTATACCTCGCAAATCGCCTTCAGTGTCGCGTGATACTTCACCGTCCACACTGGCGTTAGGATAAATGCGTAAAAAACCATTCGGCATTTTGATACTTACCTGTAAGATCTTTCAATTGCTTATTTGAACATTTTGCTGCATGAATAATTGGACCGCATTTCGCAATTATGAGGAACAATTTTTGGTTTAGTTTAGAAAAAGCGTATGTACAATTCGTTTCCACGTGCTCATTAGTGTTTTTATAGATAAGCTAGAAATTGGAGTTCCTATTTGCAAAATGCAGTTCAATTGATTTGTTCATTTAAGTGGCTAGCAACAGCGCTGAGGACCATGAGTGTCGCTTTCCAATATTAATGAGGGCTCAGGGCTCACTGAAAACTACAGCACAACCACGATGTGTTCAATCAATACGACGGTGGGTTTTATTAATTGCAGCTTTGATTGTTAGGCCACCAAACATGTGGATCTTGAAAGGAACGTGTCAAATGGTCAACGTTTTGCACCTAAAAACCTTTTAGTTCTGGCTCAAACACAAAGCAACTATCGACATTGGAAAACAAATGCATACATCGGAGTTTCCCTGACAAAAGAACGTGATTCCATTCCGAAGTTGGAAAATCGACTCGAACAGATTATTTTTTCCCGAGTATGTGATTGCACGCCAAAGTTTGCTGATTTTTGCGTTCAATGTGAAAAAAAAAAATATCACAGAAATTTTCAGCTAGAAATGTGCACCAATTTCCTGGTTAAAATGCAATTCGCGAATGGTTTTACAACGTATACAATAGGATCGGTATATCGTGTATCGGTAATTAGGTATATCGTATGCATAGGTGTTGGGAGATGAGCAGGAAATAGTGATTCCTCATCGCAGAATGTGGTAAAAATAGTTGTTCCAGTGTTGTGTTCGTTTTGTTTATTCAACTTTTCAAAAATTTGGCATACGTGTTTGATACTTTAATGCTTTTTCCCCTCCTAAAATCTGCATTGAGAGATCATATGCACGGTGCGCACAGTGAATCGAGTCGATATGAGAAGTCGGACAAAATTTGGAGACTTTAAACTATTATAACTCCGTTTATACAAGATTCTGAAGTTATAAAAGTGGTTTCATTGATTTTTCCGTGAAATTTTCTTCTAGAGGCACCCCTTGGAATTTATAATGTGTCGAATTAAACATCAAAATTTGCAGTTTTAGCTAAATATTTCCTGACCGACTTCTCTGATTGACTCGATCCACTGTGCGGGCGGCATCATCGGAAAAAGTAAATATTCTTACCAGAAAAAAATTACTTCGTGAGGCAGAGCGGACAATAAATCTACTGGTTTACTGTATCATTATTTGTGATCAAAGATTTACCTCGAGTATACATGACATCAATTCTTACTGACGTGAAACGCATCTGTATTTGATAAAGCTGGAAGTACTTGCGTGGAACAGTTTTTTTTCTTTTCTTTTTCTTTTTCTTATTTTTAAAAAAAAAAAAAAAAAAAAAAAAAAAAAAAAAAAAAAATTGTACAAGGTTTTCAATCCACCTGAGTATTCTGAAAACTCTCATTCTTGGTCTTCTAATCCGCGCCTGCTTTTGTGCGACTCGTGGACACTAGGTATCTACTGACTATCTAGGTATCTAGGTAGCAATGCGCGTGTACTTTATCTCAGCGGTCGCTATCAGTATCTTTTTAAGTAAGTAAATTTTTATGGGCAGTGGTTAATTTTATAAGCAACTCAAATAAGTAACGGACCAAAAATTTGGGTAAAATTACAAAACAATTTCTATTCCAAGGGGCTTCCTTGTGAGAATTTTGACCTGAAGTTATTTTTTTGGATCTTATAATTTCGCGGGCGGCCCTACTCGGACCCTCACCCTATTATTCGCGCTATCTCTTGAGTGGCCACAAACTAAAACGCATAGCGTCACCAAACTGACATAATATTGAGTTACACACTTCAAGTCTTCAATTAAATTGAATAGTATAGTTTTCTGGTGTTTCAATGCATATTATATCAAACAATATACATTCAAGACTTAAAAAAATTAGACGAAGCTCGCAAAAGGTCCTGGTTTATTTATATAACGATTTGATACATTGACTACCTCTGAGTTACACGTCACTAAACTAACATTTTCACTGTTTATCACGTTGAAAAAAAGGTTTAGAGTTATTCAAATATCCTGAGGAAATTCTTCGTGGTTGGTGTGACCTGCCTCTACGCAAAAAACCAATTATCGAGAGAAAATATTACAATTGCAAGTTTGAGAAACCAGTTACACGTCTTTCCCATATTTTAATCCTTTAGCTGAAATCCACCCATATATACCACATACAATACATGGTGTGCCTGGACGAGTTCAAATTGTTATATTTGTCACAATTGAAAAGTCTTTGAATTCTTGAACTACAGTGTCTCATGAGTCATTTAAGCCAAAAAAAAAAAGAAAATCCTATCGAGATACTGGAGGAAAGGCTTTTTAAAAGTATTTTGGGGACCATCATAAGCTCCAAGATCTCCTTAATTTGCAAATCTGGTAACGCTTAGTTCGAGTGTTTTACCGGGCCAATTTTCTTGATTTTTGCGGCTATTGACAGGCAATTGTCTCTAGATAAGCCCAATTTATTCAGATTTTGAAAATACGACCCAGGTTTCTGTACATTACGCGGTAAAGTTGCGAATTCTCTCATTGAAACAATGTAAATTTTTATTTTTTGTCTTAGTTCGTTTGAGCGTTCTACTTCCAAGAACTCGACAGATTTTTCCCCCCTTTTTTAGCTTAAATTATTCAGTAGACACTGTTCTTCAAGAATTTGATAAAATTTTGCTCGAGGCAGATCAAAAAACTTGATCTCGTTCGAATGGCTTTCTGCGTTTAAATTACATGTTCTCGTGAAGGTGCGTGCTCGCCTCACAGCGTCAGATCGTACAATCCTTTCATGTGCTGCTAACCTATCAGTGGCATGGCGTGCTTTGCGATTTATCGTTTGATCAGCCATTTAAACCTATGGAAAAGTATCGATAAACAGGGTGTTCGCAGCGAATACCTTAATAATCGATTATTTACCAGAGCTTCAAATTGGGAAATATCGATGGATCCCAAAGCACGCCACGCCACTGTTACTTATGTTAAAATCTCTGTTAGTGAAAATTAATGAGGTTGATATATACGAGTCAATGATGCGCCTTATCAACATGTTGCGTGCGAGTTTACTGCTTATTATTTATTATGCAAAGAAGGCTGGAAAATTTAAGAAACATCGCAGTGGTCTTCCGTTTGTTTTGCAAACTAGAATCCATGTGAATTTGACTATTTATTCATTTTTCTAATCATTTACTCTGGCCAGACTTTCAGGAAGCAGATGGTTGGTGGCAGGCGACGATTTATGATGATGTACAACATGGCAAGACTTTGCAAACTTTGTCGGGAGGCCCATGCCGGGATGTGGCATTCGAAAATAACGACAAGGCTTCCTCAATCAACACTTGGAATAAATGCGTGGTAATTTATAGTAATTTCAAGTGCAAAGGCACTAACAGAACGATGTATCCCGGAAGTCCTCATCATAAAGATTTCACAAAGCTACAATTCGATAATGTGGTATCTTCCATCGGTCCCTGCCCGTGAAAATATTGAATCATATAGGACTCGTGGATATGTCGCAGGCTATTGGTCAACTCACATTGTATCAAAAACCCAGGCAGATAGTCAAATTTTAACAGTTAACGGGATATTGTTTTATGACGACGAGCTCACGAGGTTTCAATTTTTTCGAATAAATCAATCTTTGAATCTACTACCTGTCCTTGTTCTTCTTCTTCAAATGCTGCACCTGTAAAACTGTTTAAGCATCACGAGACTCTAAAAGTGGACGTATCCGTAAAAATTGAAATGCATTCCCTTGCAGAGTAAATTAATGCTTCGAGGATTTTCACTCATACCCAGCAGCCATGAAATAACATCGAGGGTAAATGATAACACCATTATGTAATCTCAGTTGCCGATTTTTAAGGAAAGGTGACTTTCTCCGCAACTCACCAATACTTCAGTCCGAAAAACCTTACAATGGCCATGTCCGGATGCGTTGTACCTGAAGATTGGAACGCATTCTAAAATGGTCATTGTAAAGATTTAGAAAGAAATTCGATCTGAATTGAGTATTGGTGAGTCGCAGAGAAAGTTAAATTTTAAACTACATATACAGAGTAACTCATAAGCCGTCCATTGATAAAAATGTATTTCAGAGGTATTTTGCTACACGTTGATGGAAAATAATGAAGATTGAATTTTATCCCTTTTAATTATTTTATCAGTAGTTTCTTGCCAATCCGAGAAGAAAATGTAAAAAGGAAACTGTTGGGTATTTCTGACTGAAGAATTCTGACCAAATATTTCATTAATTTTTTCATTTTATTATAGAGATAGAGATTCGACTTGGACTTTGTGACTAAAGCTGGGAATTTCGATGTTTATTTGGTCAAATTTTAAATTTTAAGAGGTACCAACTGAAGAAAATTCTACGAGAAACCCCATAGAACTTCTTTTTATACTTTTGACTTATTTTAAACGTTATGAATTGAGCTTTCAAAGTTTTCACATTTTGCTGGACCTCTCCTAAGGAGTCGCTCCAGTAAGCAACGCTAACGTGGTGGCCCTTCTCGGAGCTGAGGCTGAAAATTTATCTTAAAGCCAAAAATGAGCGAATAGGATATTCCACATTAATATTTTAGTAAAAAAAACCCTAATTTTATATGAATTGCAATCTTGGATTTAAGTTACATTCCTTCGTCTAGTCAATGACGAAATAATCCCAGCATAACGTAATTTGGATTACATTTCGCAATAAGGAACCACTATTTCTGGCTCTCCCACAAAAGCACATATCAGTATAGGGAAACCAATGGCATGTATGTTGTTTCTAAAATGGGCCAAAAGTAGTGGTTCCTTGTTGCAAAATGTAATCCATTTGGCCTCTTTGAAACTAGTAATCTGCCACGACAAGACAACGCCGTAAAAGCATCCGAACGTTGCCAAACTTCCTATCAGCAAATATCAATCAACGAGGAAAGTTACGAATATGTTTTGTTGAACTACTCAGAGACTTTAGATGAAATTGCGAGAAAACTCCTTTGGAAACTCGGAGGAAAATGTTTCCAAATTTTCACGAAAATTCATAAATTGTCTTAAGAAATTTGGCAGCATCTAAGTGCTCATACGGCATTTTCCCTTAGCATGGCAGTGATTAAAGTCCCTTTATATTGAGAGTAAAGACAATCTCAATCCATTTCTGATTGGTTCCCGTACTTTGGGCCTTCACAGTGTCACAAACGGGAACGAACGTGGATTTTCACCAATTGCAAAGATTATAAACTGGAATGGACCGGGGAATGGGGGGTACGGCAAGGAACAAATGGAACTTAAGAAGGAACGAAGAAAAGAATTCGGGAATGGGTTGATCAAAGATTACAAAAAACGTCCGAATTGTGTAATCTTTATTCCCGTTTGTGACATCCAGAAGCCGCGTCGTCTCAACTCTCTTCATAAAGGGACTCTAGCAGTGACTAGAGTCCCTTTATACTGAGAGTCAAGACAACACCCCTCATGAAGCCACACACGGGAATAAAGATTACACAATTCGGACGTTTTTTGTAATCTTTGATCAACCCATTCCCGAAATCTTTTCTTCGTTCCTTCTCAAGTTCCATTTGTTCCTTGCCGTACCCCCCATTCCCCGGTCCATTCCAGTTTATAATCTTTGCAATTGGTGAAAAGTTATAATCTTTATTCCCGTTTGTGACATTGTGAAGGCCTAAAATACGGCAACCAATCAGAAATGGCTTCACATTGTCTTGACTCTCAGTAGAAAAGGACTCTAGCAGTGACTGTCTCTCGGCGTGGAGTCGTCCGGTCTAGAGTACCTGCACTAGCGAGAGTATGGACAGATCGCTTCATGGAGGGCTTAGGACCCAAAAGTGCAGCCACCTTTCTAACCAACTTCTAACGCACAAAATTTTACTGCCAGTCTGTAGATTCCAATTCTAACGAAGATGGCTAAGCAAGTGCATAAATGAGCGTTCTTCCACGAAAATGAGTAAATTTATGCAAAAACTAAGTCAAATACGTGCTTTATACACGATGGTTCGTAACAATTGTATTAATAAATCGCTCTGGATGATTGAAATTCATAGGTTGGCTGCATTTTTGGGCCCTAACTTTATTCGCGGAGGCATCGGTGAAGGTCTGATGGATTTTCGGAGTTTCACATTTGTCTATACTCTCGCTATACAGGTACTCTAGTCCGGTCCTCCCTTTAGCATGCACGAGAGCCGAATAAGTGAAGGAGGTAGCTTAAGCGCGGAGTGAGAAGGAGGGCGGTTGACGTTGAGCAACGTGGGTAAATTACCTGACAAAACAGTTCAGTGCGCGGATAGGACAGGGAGACCCCTGCGACCATGCGAGTCCTCGCTCACAGCCCCCCCCCCCCCCCCCNAGGCCAAACTTGCTTTTGTTTCTAAGTGTTTTCGTTAAATGCCGTTCTCCTTTGCATCAGCTCACTCTGTCGCCGAGCTAAGGAACACCGCCGTAAACTTTCCGATGTCGCCAAATGGGCCTCTTACAAACTTCACCCCGAGCAAAAAGGAGAGTTGTTTGCATGAGGAAACCTCAAAAATGGACCACTAGACAAGGCACGAGTTTCAGCATTCTGATACATGTTTCTGAACCAAAATTTTGCGTAACACAATGCGCACAACGAAAATAACCGAAATCAACTCCTTACGAAGATAATTAATGATTCTTGATGCGTATATTCAAACCACCCGCTCATGAAAACTCAATGCTCTACGTGATTCACATCGCGCGCTGAACGTTATCATGATAGTCTCTGCGATATAAAAATCTGGCAACCTCAATCTTGACGCTTTGGCTCAGCTATTGCAAATTTCTAATGGTTTGAACGACACATGGGGAAATGGACATTATTGCTCGATTGAGAAGCTTGCTGAAACCGTTGTAGTGCGCGATTTGACTCACGTAGAGCTTTGAGTTTCTTGTGAGCGGACAGTTCAAATTCCTCGTAACCAATGTGAAATAAAAACGTTAATATCTTCGTTTTGAGTTGGTTTCAGTAATTTTCGTTGTGTGCATCGTGTTCTGCGTGAAGTTCTGGTTACGAAACATGTACCAGATTACTTAAATTTGTACCTTGTCTAGTGGTCCATTTCGATGAGCGGCGAATTGGGAAAGTCTGAAATACACGCCTAACTCCACAATCTGCGTGAGAAATGTGCGTCTTTTGAAGCCTCTCGCTTCAAAAACGATACTACGGCACAGGTGAAAATTTCCCAAGAGGAGTCGTTCTATCGAACCCTTGCGCACTTGGATGCTACACAATACATCGCCTCTCTGACGAGAGGACGTATTTCAATTTTTACGTGAGCCCTGGCTTCCAGGACCTTAGGACCACCTACCTTTCGTCCATCAAATAAATGACCACCGCTATTTATGTCCACTAAACGTTAAGTCCAGTCTTTATTAAGTCCACATGATTTAATGTCCATCCATGAATATGCCCAAAATTGTCCAACTTGTGGACATGTTATGTCCACATTTTTTTCTTCTCATTTAAATGACAGGAACCACCTCAAAAATAAATGCATACTACTACCACTTTATTCTTAAAAACATTTCATTCACGAATCAAGTCATGAAAAAGAACAGACTCTAAGAGCAGATAAAAACATATGATCATGTGCGGATTTGATAAGATGAAAACCAAAGCGGGAGCCTAGGAAACGCTCCAATGCCAAATTCAACATTTTTCAGTAACAGATGCAGTCAAAATTGAAAGTCCTCTTTGACTAGTTATTTCGTGCGACTTCAATCTTGTAGGATACTGTGCAACGCCTCTGACGCAAAATAGTTGCTTAAAGCGTTGCGGCGCGGCAGGCAACTAGCGTGACACGCGCACAGGCGCCTACAAACCTAACGGGATACTTCACGCGTTGCGCAAAGCGTGAAGTATCCCGTTAGGTTTGTAGGCGCCAGTGCACGTTCTGCGCTGCTAACACGCTCTAATACGCTCACGCTGTGTTAGGCTCTAACATTTTAACTCGCGGAGTCAGCGTTTTTCAAATCATAATTTTGAAATGTTTGAAAACTCTGCATGAATTATTCTTATTTAAATTGATGAAAAAGAAATATGTACTACTGGAAAATGTAATGTGTTTTTTGTAAATATAATAGTGGTTCCGTATCAAATTTAATAATTTCCAAAGCATTCAAATTTATTCTTTTATGTTTTGGGCTTTTACTGTGCTGCAGCGTGGTGTAAGCGCAACCAAACGCTCAAAATTCGACGTATTTCACTCAAGGAGGTCGATGTACAATAAGTTAAAAACAAAAAATTGCGTGCTTCTTAGTTCTTTCCCTCTTTTATTAATTTTTGTAAAGTTTCTTTCATCACAACTATGGCTCATTGAGATTCATATCGATGCCATTGCTTTGAAAAGGTTTTACAAATATTTACCACGTTTTAAAAATGTAAATGTTTTTAAAATAAAGTAATCAATTTCATTTAAAAAAAAAGAATGTACATTTAAGGCATATTTTATATCGGAAATTTCAAGGATAGAAATGAAACCAAGTATTTACCAAAGACAATTTGAAAAGATGAATCAAAAGAAGAAATTAACATTTCATTTAAAATATGAGTTACGATAACAACACCTCATTCTCTCTTAATTTTCTCATTTCGATATTGTCAATATAATTTTACACACGGACTAAAATATGAAGTTT